AGTTTAGGGTTTAGGGTTTGATAATATACTTCAAATCTAAAATGGTCTATTACATATTGAACCAATATATACAATATATGCAATAATGCAATATACGAAGATACTCTTGGGGTTTAAAGGGTGGCGGGTCGTTCTCCTCGTCGTCTTCGTGTCACCATAGGCTTGTCGCATTTATCTTTTTGTTGGTCAGCGCTGCCGATACGGTGCAGGTTCAGTTTTGAAGGGGTGCTGATGGCACTGACCGTCCTACCACCCCCATCCCTTTCCGCCCTCAACATAAATATAAAAGCAAAGATATTTTTCAATATATCTCAAAAAATCCTTAATTGTCAGTATATCTCAAAAAAATCCCAAATTCCCTTGCTTGGTCCCGTCTGCATTGCGGTGAAGGCTCGGGCCAAACCTCGCGACCCTTGGGCCTTGGGACCCTAAACCCTAAACCCTAAACCCTAAACCCTAAACCCTAAACCCTAAACCCTAAACCCTAAACCCTAAACCCTAAACCTTTGGGTTACTTACTTGGGGTTGAGGGGCGTAGGGTGACTTGGGGTCCTGGGTGTGGCGTGAAGGGCCGAGGGCTGAGAGGCTTTGGATTTAGGGTTTAGGGTTTAGGGTTTAGGGTTTAGGGTTTAGGGTTTAGGGTTTAGGGTTTAGGGTTTAGGGTTTAGGGTTTAGGGTTTATTTGAATCCTTGAGCCCCGAATAACAGAATCATCTCGCTCCGTGACAGCCCCAAACCAGAAGCCCGATGTGGGAACCGAACCTTCCCAGAGCGGCTGCACCTTCCCATTCAAGGCCTTCGATGACGAGCCCTGCTCCCCGGTGTCTGTACCCTGCGCATAGCTGCCGCAGCAATACCGCCTGAGGCAAGGGGGAGCATGCAAAATTCTGGGTTCGGGTTGAAAGTGCCGGCTTTCTGGTCGGCGGTGTAGTGTAGCAACAGGCAAGAATGAAGGTCGGCCTGGGCTATGACTCTGTTCAGATTTCAGTCCCGAACCCTCAGCCCTAAGACCCCGGAGTGAGGAGTTAGAGCCTGTCGACTGTGCCCCTGTAGGGTCCCGGGTTAAGGGTCTCCGTTAGTTTGGGGTTTATGGTTTAGGGTCTAGGGTGTAGGGTATCCTTTTGTTTGGGGTTTAGGGTTTAGGGTTAACTTTTTAGGGTTTAGGGTTTTTTTTTGGGGGGGTTTTGGGGTCTCAGGTTTCAGGGTTTAGGGTTTAGGGGGTCTGCGGTTTCAGGGTTTGGGGCTTGTAGGATTTATGTTACGGTGTTAAGCCCTGGTCAGATATCTGCCAGCAGTGCAGATGCGTTGACGGTGGTGGAAACTATGACTCTGTGCCTCATCTGCAGCTCCTCCGCCGAGAGGTCCAGACACAAGTCCGAAAAGTTGCGCATACGGCTGATGATATAAGTCCTGCATGACCTCAAGGACCCTAAGCTATGGGAAATTTGGGTATAGTCCTTATCATGGGTAGTGCAGGATTTATGTCATCAACCGTATCTCTTAACAGCAACCTTAGACACTCAACTGCACGGTAACAATGCCTAAACCCTTAATCGACGTAACCCCAAACCCGAAATCCCAAAAATACATAGCCTTAGTACCCAAACCCTACAACTACATACATGACCCTAAACCTTAAGCTGCATCACCTTGAACCCCAAACCCCTAAAGACCCTAAACGCCAACCCCTGAACCCTGCACAAGGCCTACAATAAGGACTCCTCTTGAGGGAGTCCCTTAAGATGTCCGGGTATGTTCCGATTCAATTAGATCTTGTTCCTCAACTTTCATATGGGTAGTTCTCTGAACTAGCTAATATAGTACGGCACCCCTATCCCAAAACCCAAAACCCTAAACCCTATAACAAGGACCTTAAAAGGGGCCGGAATTTAGAGAACTACCCGTATAGAGTCTCCCGGGGATGTGGTCACAGGGGAGCAGACGAGCCCAAACCTTGAACCCAAAACCGTTGTGAATAGGGTTTCGGGTATATTAATAGGGTTTATACGTTTAGGGTTGATAGGGTTCAGGGTTTTAGAGTTTAGGGTTTTAGGGTTTTGGTGTGATCCTTGCGCATCTGAAAAATCCGAGGCATGACGCTTGGTTTGGCTCTCCAGATGCTGATTGCTGGCATCAGCATGCGCCCTCGTCAATCGGAACTGAGTCGATGGTTTCTTAACATTGAGATGTTTAGGGCTTTGACGTGTCTGCGGTGAACGGCCCCTGTTGCAGCGGGTGCGCCAGTCAACTCAAGTTCCGCGAGTGCTGCTGCATTGCACCACGGCAGTCCCGCAATCAGATAGCTGTGTCTAGTCGTAAAGCCAATGCAAGCTTTTCGGCTGTTGTTCTAAGTTAGGGATCCCCTAAACCCTAAACCCTAAACCCTAAACCTTTCAAGGTATCTCCCTGGTTCGAAAAACGAGGTCTCGTTGTGGACCGGGTCCCAATCTGGAACACCTGCCACTTGCACCTTCTGTTTGAGAAGGAACGGAGCACAATAGCCTGTCTACAGCAAGGCACCCGGATGGCGCAAGCCCTGAAACGAAGCCCATCTTAAACCCTAAACTCCTGAACCCTGGACCTAAATCCATCCTAAACCCCAGGCCCATCTTTACCCCTACATCGACCTTCAATGAAATTCAGGCCAAGACCTCAAACCCCAAAGGCCCAAAAGCCTGTTTAGGGTTTAGGGTTTAGGGTTTAGGGCCCAAAAGCCTTCCGTGTCCCGTCTGGAATGCTCCGATGCCGCGGCTTCCTCAGCTCTGTTCAAGTGTACAGAACTCTACGGGTCTAGGTGCCCATCTAGTATAATATAGGGGCCTTAATGATTAGAATAGGGTTTTGGGGTCCAAGTATGCTATAAATATAATTAGGACCCCCCAAAAAAGTATTGGTGATTATTGAGGCCCCTATATTATACTTGGGCCTTACTGTAGTGGTTACTCTGGGCCCCTAAAACCCTAGACCCTCAACCCAAAGTACATGCTACTTGAGCACCTGGACCCTTAGGGGAACTCACAAATACCACGGGCCATTGGAGCGAATCGGGGAGCTTCCAGGCCATAAAGCCCTAAAAGGGACCTGGTTCTTCATAAAAACCATGGTGAAGCGTTACAAAATAGTAGGTTCTGGTAGTCTTAGTTTAAGGTAAACCCTAAACCGAAGCTTGCAGGGGGCTATATTATTTCTGGACTTCCAGCAACGTGTGCATGAGATGGCCGCTGCATCCTGAACCTAAACCCATAACATAGATGCATTGCCAATATTGTTCTTGGGGGGTTCCTCCATATATTTATGCTTAGTAATAGATTCCGTCAGAGATTATTCCAAAGATTACTCACCGTAAACTCTAAGGCAAAAAAATATCCCCCGATCTCGCTCAACCCGTGATGTGAAACGTATTCAGAATTCTACACCGATATCCGGCGAGAACTGCGCCGGCACTCTTCCGAAGTTTTCCCTTGCACAAGCAGGTTCGGAGAAAAGTTGCTGCAATAGCTCTCTTCGCTGCAAAAGGCGGGGTCGCCGCAGGATCATGCAATCGGTACCGGGCCCCTAAACCCTAAGCCATCAACCCTAAACCCTAAACTCCTAAACTCTAAACCCTAAACCGACTATACTATGACTTGGATCCTTCTGGTTGCCAAGGTCTATCTCTTTGATGGGCTCCGCAAGGGCGTCATCGAAACGCTTCATCCAATCCTGGCTTCCAAAGCCATTACCAAGGCCAGGGTTAGGGTTAGGGTATAGGGTTTAGAAACGAGTTTGAGTGGAGTTTAAAGATACGTCTAATGACTCTGAGCATGATTAAAATGCGTGTAATAATGAGATTTCATGATCATGGTCATAATAGTGGCAATTAGGGGGTTGAGCAATGAGCTGTAACATGCTGGTAGTCACCATTCTACGATAATGCTGAACACCGATTCTAAGTACCAGGGCCCCAGGTTAGTCCCCAATCCCAATGAAGGATCACAGGCAGCAACGAGGCCTCTCGCAGTACACTCGGTTGTGGCAGTCGTCGCCGTCTTTCGGGTTTAGGGTTAAGGTTTGTTGACTCGTCATCGATTCTGCCGTCGCCAGAGTTGCAGCGGTAGTTGTGATGGTGGCTAGAGGTAGCAGCGGTAGTGCCAGGGCGATGAGTTGCGGCCGTAGATATAGTAGTACCGTGTCTCTTGGCAGATTTTTCACTCTGCAGGTGCGGGCTGTTCTGAATTGACATCCTGATCAAGACCCTTCTCCCCCGACGGTGCACGTGTTTTGAATTCAAGGGATTGTCAAGGTATCTGCTCCAAAACTTCAACAGAACACGGAACCTGGCACCCATGAATCAAAACAGAAAAACCCTGCACCAGCATCCAGAATGTCCTTGCTCTGCGGATCATCCTCTTGCCCTACACCCGGGTTTCCCGAAGCCGTTAAATCCAATCCCTTTCAACACCCTAAACCCAGAAGCACTAAACCCTAACCCCCCTAACCCCTGAACCCTAAATCCTCAACCCAAACCCCCATATAGCTCAAGAAGTACACCCTGAAAGATAATTGGTAGTCTTCGAGACTGCTTTTGTTAAGGCATAGCTAATGTAGAAGCCTTTTCAATTACCAGTAGAGTTCTTTTTTATGACTACACTATAAGATACCCCCAAGCCATAATCTAATGAGTAAGGCCCCTTATAGCAACAAGAACCTATTCTAAGTAGTAAGGCCAATTGCCAATGCATATTGAGGGTTGTTGGGCTGCCCGTAAAGGGCTCCACCACTCTCCAGGTGATGCACGACTGTCGCGAGGATTCGTGGTGGCCTCAGAAAGCATCCAGACCCCTTGCTTTGGGATACAGGGCTGCAAGTTGTTTTGTCCCATAGCCCGTGATGAAGAAATACTTAAATCCAAGATGGGAGTATGCCTTTATTGATGTTGTGGTGGGCAAGCGTTGGTCGCGCGAGGATTCCTCGTAGAACCCTTCTAGTTGTAGAGCTCTGTAGCCGAGAACCGGCACACAACCAGTACAGAAATCATGATATGGTCGTCTGGCTTTAATCCTAAACCCTAAACCCTAAACCCCAAACCCTTAAATCCGAAACCCTAAACCTAAAACCTAAACCCCAAGCCCCTAAACCACAAACCCCTAAACCCTAAACCTTAAACCATAAACCTGTAATTAATTGGTGAGATCAAGCTTCAGGCTCCAAGCCGCCCGGAGTCATCTCGTCCCCTTAAATGTTCTCTCCGCGGCTCCCAGCTTAGATCGTGCAGACGATTTCGCGGGTTTAGGGTTTAGGATTTTACCGCACGACTTGTTGCCAGCATTTACGAAAAACACGGCTGCCTTTTAGATCACTGCCTCGCTCCGTATTAGATTCGAATCTCACGCAACTCCGGTTACTCCTATACTACGGGGCATCGATTTCCCCGTTTTTTTCGGTTGTATGTTGCTAGCAATGTAAGGCCTGCGCCGGGGCCTGCATTCGACTCGTGTTACCTATGGCAGAGGCTCCTTGGAAGTAGGTGCAGTGTGCTGTGCCTGGTTAGTTGCTGAATTAGGGTTCAGGGTTTAGGGTCCCTAAACCCTAAACCCTTAACCGTAAAGAAGTTAGTGTTAAGTAAACCCGGCGTTTCCAGGATGTAGAGCTTCGGGAGCGAAAAGCCTGAACCTAGAATGCCAGAGCTTTCACGCCATGCTTTCGGTTCGTAGCCTCTCTGGCAACGTCGTGACGACCGTGGAAGGGGCTACACTACAGGGCAGATCAGACTTCCCGGATGGCCTGAAACGTCATCTGAGTGAGCTGATGGGTCTGCCGACGCAACGGTTGCGACTTTGTTGCGGAGGCCCTAAACCCTAAACCCTAA